CCCTAGAATCTGGGTTTTTAATCCTGTTCTCCAATAAGGTGAACCAAGGCTCCTTGCAGAAATGGCTGATACTAGGACTGGGCAGGAAATATTTGACAACCGTGGAGAATGTTGAGTTTCCAAAAAGGAAGTTACAAAATAAAACATAAAATATGGTTGGGATTATGTCAAAGGAAAAAAGCCAAATAAAAGATCTCCTCATGCCACAGTTGGGACACAACAAAATAGAGTTGAATTCTAATTCAAGGTATAAAATAAACACACACGGATTGATACTGATGTGAATGCATGAATGGGAAAAAATAGATATTACTTATATGGAAAACACCCCAGATAATTGATTTAGATCCATCTTAAGGTGGAACATAATTTTGCACTTCTTAAATGTGGGCTGTCCACAGTGATTTTTTTTTTCAAAGAGAATGAGTAGTACGGAGAGTGGTACACAAGTAAAGTCAGCAGAGAAATGTGACAGACAGTACTAAGTCATCTTGAGAGCATGTAGCCTTGTTATAAAGTCATGAAAATGGCGATTTATCTCTGTTATCTTCCTCTCAAAACCAAAAGACCACAGTCGTTTTAATCATGGGGGGAAAATCAAATATACCTTTATGGTAATTCTAAAGACTCATAATCATCAAAACAAGAAAATCTGAGAAAATGTCATAGCCAAGAGGAGCCCAAGGAGACATGAATAAATGTGGTGTACTGGATGGGAATCTGAACAGTGACAATAAACCCACAGAAATCTGACCAAAGTATGGAATTAGTTAAGGACATATTAATTTATAAATTACATCAAATATGGCAAGATGTAGTAAGAGGGGAAACTGGGTCTCAGGTATATGGCAAATAAGTATTTTCCCAAATTTTCTTTAAATTTAATCTGAATAAAATCTGTTCCAAAATTAGAAGTTTATTAAAAACACCATTATAATTTTCTAACACATACATGTTTGATTATTTCTACTACTAACTACTCATAATTGACCGTGTGTACTAGTCATATTCTTTTTTTTATTTAGAAGCATTTTGACATAGATGAGTAAATAATAGATTGATATATAATTGTGTATTACATATGATATATATATTTCATTCTTTTATGGTCGAGTTTATATGTCTGCCCTCTAAAAATAGCTTTTCTGGGGCGCCTGAGTGGCTCAGTGGGTTAAGTCTCTGACTTCAGCTCAGGTCGTGATCTCAAGTGTCCTGGGATCAAGCCCCCCATTGGGCTCTCTGCTCTGTGGGGAGCCTGCTTCCTCCTCCCGCTTTGCTGGCCTCTCTACCTACTTGTGATCTCTCTCTCTCTCTCTCTCTCAAATTAAAAATAAAAAAAATAAAAATAGCTTTTCTGAGGAGGGACAGTATTCAGACTTTAAATTTCTCTGTCACTTCTTGGCTCAACATTTTCAAAAACTGGTTTTGGCTTCCTCAGTCTAAAGAATCTTTGGAGTGTTTTTATTTGTATTTGTTTCCATACAGTTTTAGCACAAATATATTCAACTAAGAGAAAATTGCCAAAGTTTGTAAGAATGTAAACAGAACTTAGCACCATGAAGATTTGATGCCTTTTCATAAAGCCATAAAAATCCCAGACTGTTTTGTAAGACCTATCAGATGTTGCTATTTTCTGGGGGAAAAGTATACCTCATAGTATTATTGGAGGCCGAACACTGGCAATACTTATAAATATAGTTGGCCTTAAAAGTTATATATCGATATAGCTAATAGAGTTAGTGATCACAAAAGATTTGCATGTTATGTGTAGCAAAATTCAAATGAGGTTTCTGATTAGGAAATCATATTAGACCTAAATACTACTAAGAATATATGAATACATGCTTTTTCCATTGTACAGTAGAAGTCACTGCTTATGAACAAATGTTAGATTATAAGTTATGTTCATATAATCATAAAATATGAATGATCATAAAATAGAAGAATTATTTATTGACTTATATGAAAGACTAAACTGGACATGATCTAGCTTGATATTATTAATAAATTGTGGAAAGATGATTTTGATATAAAAGTGTATCTGTCCGAGCCATGACCATGGAACAATTCTGTCAGATGTATAAAAGGGTAGAAGCTATTATCTACCCCGTCTACCTCCTGCCCCATGATTATGGAAGATCTGTGCTTTGCTCAAGTCATAATTTGTGTGCAAAATTTTTCTATGTGTTTAAGTTGGATAGTCTTCTTAAATATTGCACAGGTGACAGGTACACATTTTTTGTGTGTCAAATCAGAGAGCAGATGCGTATTCTCATGTCTTTTCTAAAGACTTATAAACATATGAGAATACGCATTGGGCATCAATTCTAATGCAGTCATGGCACTTCCCACGTGAATTAATGACCTCAAATTAGTCCCTACATCTTAAGAGTTGCTGTGAAAACTTAAAAAAAAAAAAAAAAAAACGGTGTTGTGAAAACTAAGGAGTTGGTACTGCATACACCAAGTTGTTATTACACATAACAGGTACTTTGTTTTTGCAAATATTTTACAAATTAACTTGAAATGTGAATATACCACTCTGCCTTATTATATTTGATCTGCTTACAACAGTATGTAGTTTAGTTATAGTTGTTTAGCTATAGTTGTTTTTAAGTGTAATCCTGGGGCTCAACTAAATTTTGACAACTATCTGGTGGCTCAGCCAGGACTCACCCACCCTTTGCCCCAGTATGTCTCCAACAAGGGAGGAACTGGTCCTGGGCCTGCTGGGGGTGGGGCTTGTGCTAGTGTTGGGACCCCTAAGATCGATGCACACACACCCTTCTCAGAGGAGGCCATGTCATAGCCTGTTTTATCTTCACTGACCTAGGGCTATAAGTGCATTGAGCAGCTGTACTAAGATCAAGGGACTTCATGGCAGATAAAATTTAGAGGACTACAAGGTGACAGACCCACACAACTAGCTTTGTTTGAGTGACACATGGACAGCTTGCTGTAAAGGGAAGTCCCATACAAGTTCACTCTGTCCAGAGGCAACATTGTGGGGCCCCCATCCAGAAGGGGAGGATGGAAAGGTTTTAGAATTGTTTTTAGAATTGAGGAAAGGAGTTAGAAAGTTTCAGTAACAAGATCTAATTGGCTGTAATGGTGGAAATTACAACCCATGTTTGTCTCCAGGGTCTGAGTTTTTTTTTTAAGATTTTTATTTATTTACTTGACAGAGAGATCACAAGTAGGCAGAGCAGCAGAGAGAGGTGGGCAGCAGGCTCCGTGCTGAGCAGAGAGCCCGAGGCAGGGCTCAATCCCAGGACCCTGAGATCATGACCTGAGCCAAAGGCAAGGCTTAACCCACTGAGCCACCCAAGTGCTCCCTGAGTCTGAACTTCTGATCCCTCTTTTGTTCCCTTCAACCCTTGTTCACACCTCCGTGTCCCCACCTGATCATGGACCCTGCCTCTCCAGCGAAGGTGCCAAGATGCTGGAATTGATTGCTCGTTGTCCTCACCTATACTTGACTCACCCTGGCTACACAGCAGAATCACTTGTGGATATATTTTTTTAATGATGTATCAGTTCTATCCAGAGATGTGCTCATTTAATTGGTCTCAGGCTAAGATTATGGACTGTGTCAGCTTGGGAAGAGAACAGATCAGCTGGGTTGTCTCTAAAGAACATCTCCCTTTGTGATTTAGGTCCAGTATTGGGGTTTGTTGAAGGGCAGTCCATTTCCAAGCCCTGGGACCAAAGCCAGGGAGAGTGCCTTTGTGAGAATTTTTGTTTGGAGAAGAATAGATTAAGTTAATTATAAGGGCTTAATGTGATGTCTGATAGGGGATTTTATCATTCGAGTTTTCTTTGCAGGACTGTTGCGGGGGTACATAGCAGTGGCTCTGTTCTGGGAACAGGAAGGCACATAATTCAGGACTCACTTGAGTTAAGATCTAAGATGTGGTCATTGGATGAACTCCTGTCCTCAAAGCAGCTTCATGGAGAAACTCTAAGGAATGTTCTTGGTCTGGAAAGACCGAGTTTCCCAGGGGCATAGGAGGGCTGGAGCAGCCTCATGGTTTACACTAGTATCTGGGATACTATGCTTGTGGTTCTACTAGAAGGAGCGGTTCTACTACCAGGCTCACAGCACAATGAGTAAGTTGTCAGTTGGGGTGAAGGTCCCTGCTATGCCACCACCAGGTGCAGAAGGAGCTAGCTGATGGTGGGAAGTTGGAACAGTGGAGCTGATCTCTGTGGAAGGAGCTGTTAGAGGAAGAGGAGACTGTCCTGTTGAGTCTCTAATCTACTTACCAAGGAGTGTAGGCTCAAACCCATGTGTTTACAACTGCGTAGAGAAAATCAGAACCTCAACAACAGATTTTTCAGCAACAAGGTTTATTAATTAAATATTTACAGGAAATAATGTATTGAAAAAGTCTTACGTTTTAGAAAATTCTGTATTCAATATGCTTAGACCAACTTTACCTTTTTGTATTTATATGCCACATTTTCCCTATGAATATTTTTCTCAAAATCCTGAATTACTGGTTACATTGTATGTTAAAGGCTCTAATTTTAGAGGTTTTTCCCTAGACTTAGTTTCCTGATACGAAATCTGCGTGAAGTTCCTGCCACTGTGGTTTCCTGACTGCCATCTCCTCAGGTAAGAAGCTTAATGTTGGCTGAGAACTAAGTGATCACGGACACTGAGTGCTGTGTACAGTCCGAATCTTCACACGTGCCCCAAATGCCTCTCTGTGAACAAAGAAAGGGTCTCTCATTGCTCACTGCAATATGAACTGTTATTCCTCAAGAGCACGCATCCTCTTACATCTTGCGTTGGTGTTTATTCAGACTTCACCGAGTTGTCTTGTGTGCACCACACCTGGTGCCTGGCTGCGCGCCGTTCACCGTGCTCACAGAGCTAGGGGTGCTCCCTTGTGCAGGCCGAATAGTGTGTGTCAGGTTGAGAGCTGTTGCTTAAGACCTCTCCCTGCCTTATATTTACGGAGCGAGTTCTCTCACATCCTTCGTGCTTCTGCCGCACAGTGGTCACACACAGGGATTTCTTCCATTTAAGCGGGTGCATGTCAAATGAGGAAGAATGACTGAGGGATCTTCTACATTGATTACAGACAGTTTCTTCGATGTGCAAGTCCTCTAGAGGTGTGTTTAAATGTTAACGCTATGGTTGAAGTCTCACCCACGTTCATTACATTTATAATACGATGTTATCTAAGGTCAGAATATTTACTGAAGGCATTCATCATTTTCTCTCCATTGTGGGTTCCCTCGTGTCGCCTAAGAGCAGAACACTGACTGAAGGATTTCCCACAAAGGTGACATTCATACGGTTTTTCTCCAGTGTGAGTTCTTTCATGTCGTCTGAGGGCAGAACATTTACTGAAGGCTTTCCCACACAGGTGACACTCATATGGCTGCTCTCCAGTGTGTGTTCTCTCATGCTGTCTGAGGTTGGAGGACTGACTGAAGGCTTTCCCACATAGATGACATTCATATGGTTTCTCTCCAGTGTGAGTTAGATTGTGTTTTCTAAGGTCTGAGCTTTGAATAAAGGCATTCCCACAGATATGGCATTCATATGGTTTCTCTCCAGTGTGAGTCATCTCATGTCTCCTAAGGCTTGAGCAATTACTAAAGGCTTTTCCACACAGATGGCACTCACATGATTTACCTCTGGTGTGAATTTGCTTATGTTGATTAAGGTATGACTGGTCACTAAGGGATTTTGGACACTGTTTACTGATACAAGGTGTCTTTTCTGTGTGAGTTAACAAATGTTCAGTCAACATGAAGCCATGAGTGAAATCTTCTTCCAAATCTTTATATTCAAAGGGATCCTCTGGAGTATGACATTCCTGCTTTTGGGAAAGAGATGAAAGGTTGTTAAAGTTGGCCTACATATCCATACATTCACTTTTCTACACAGAAATCCTAAATTAACCACTCAGTGATAGTTTCCAGTTAAAATCTTGCCAGTGTTACTTGCATACACACAATGTGTTTGTTACCCCCTTGTCTACATAAAGAATTTTTCTTTTGTAGCATCCCAACTACAGAGCTTATAGATTATGTTTCAAAGACTGGGCATACGATCAGTGTTTATGCAGTTGTCTTTTTTTTTTTTTTTTTTTTTTTACGATCTCAGGTTATGATTTGGGGGCTCAGATTAATTTCTTCACTAAATTCAAACTAGCCTAAACTTTTTGCTCAAAAAAAAAAAAAAATAGTTTAATCCCAACTTAATATGAATTAGGCTATTGTGCTCAATTATTAACATCCTATTTCTAGGTCTTTGATTTGGATGACCAGGGTTACTATTCAGGAAACTTACCACTGGCATGATTGCAGATGTGTCCTTCCTGCTGATAAGTTGCGTGGCTATCATTTCTTGTTCCTTAAAGGCATTTCCCCTGCCTAAAATAATTGAAAACAAAACAAATAGAATGGCAGTAGGGTAATGAAAATGTTGAAAAGCACCAAGATCCATGTGAGTATGTTTCAAAAACTGGCACTTTGATGGGGCAAATATGTCAAATGAAGGAATACTCTAGGAATACTAATTCTCAAAGATTTTCAGAATTGAATTATGAAAAAATTCTAATGAAGGCAGATTGGGTAGCGAAAGAAAGGAAATCTTCAAAGGGGAATATTAGGGTAGGAGTTACTGTGAAAGTTTAACTTCATTTAAGTATATGAATATGCTTTCCCCAAAGCCAAAAGAAACACCGGCAAGAGAAAACATGAATTGTGATTGACAAATGCAGGGAATAATGACATTTGAAGAATTTTGCCCCAGTGTTCTTCTCCACATTTTAGAAAATCACTCACTTGACAAAATCTTCAGTTCGTATTTCCAATAACATACAGTGAGTAGGCACCTCCTCATACTGAAGCACAGGTCCCTGCAGCTCACCTGGGCTCTGACCTTGAAGAAATCTAGTTCCTTCACTCCACAGCTCTTGTCCTTGCTCCAACTGGAAAATCAAATCTGATTTGCAATGCTGATACCCTGTTCATTGAAAAAAGGCACGTGGATTTTGAATTCTGTACTACTAAAAGTCCTCTCCTTCCCCAAGGCTAATCATCATTAAGTCCAGGACAGGCAACTGAGGAAGAACAAGAATACCACAAGAACTTGAATGGAAAAAAGCACAAATCCAAATATATGTCGAAAATAGTGAAGACCTTCTGGATGGTGGTGTCCATGCCCAAATTTAAAGACAGAATGCAGAATCCTCAGTCTTTTCAGAAATGGAGAAATTAAATGTCTCCACAGTGGGTTGAACATTACTTTCAAACAGACACCAAGTAAGCTCAACAAGAGAAATCAAAGTTCTATTTTTGTCATTGGTCTAGTTTCAACCCTTGAAATAATGACTATGGGAGAATAATTATTTAGAAAATGTTTAAATAATTTGTTTATGCCTTCAGAAATACTGAATTCCCAGTTCTGCTCAGGTCGTTAGAGACTGAGTAGTAACAAAGACGTTACACTGTGGTCAAAAGTATATTCTAGTGGTGTGACAAACTAAATGTAGTAAAATATAAAGAAACAACTTTCTTTCAAGTAAGGTCTATATGAAAGATTCAGGTTAGAGAGTGGAGTGGGTATGTGGGTATGCAGAAGCTATTCCAGTTACTTGCTGACTGACCAACTACCTTCCCACCCACCCATCTATATAAGTGTATGCGTTGGCAGACTCACCCAGGGAGACGAGGTGACGTATATTTTCCAGCATGACATCCCTGAACAGCTTTCGCTGGGATATGTCCAGCAGGTCCCACTCTTCCTTGGTGAAGTCTATAGCTACATCTTCAAATGTCACTGATTCCTAAAACATCACGGATATTCTGTTTTAGACAGAGCATTCCCTACTGGCGTCCAGAGCAGGAGGGTTGCGATGACAGCACTGAGGAAGAGGGTGGAGGAGCTGGGTGTGTAGAAAGATCAAACTAAGTCTAGGGTTCCCGTCGTTCATTCTCGGTGCAGAACTGGCATGTGCCTTTCAGATACATTACAGAGGTATAGTCTGAATTAATAAAACTTTACTGTAAAGGAATATCACATGAACTGTGATATTACATAGCCTGGATTTTTTTTTTTTTTTTAAGCAACTGGTAATTATGGGGGCACCTGGCTGGATCATTCAGTAGAGCTTGCAACTCTTGATCTCTGGGTCATGAGCTCAGGTCCCAGGTTGGGTGTAGAGCCTACTTATTAAAATAAACACATAGAGTCTAAAACAAAAACTGGTAATTTTATCAGACATATTATAAAACTGGCACCTGAAAATTCGTAACTAAAACTCACTTTCTGATTAACTTCAAGTAACCTTACAGACTCTGTATAAGGCAAACAATACCCATGACTTGCCACTTGTAAACCATGACACTATTCCCACAGATGAACCTTTAATGACCTGTTAGGAGTATTGAAAGACCCAATGAACTAATGTATGAAGTTCTTCCTAAGTAAACATGTATTAAATACAAGTCATTAGTCATTAAAATATCCAAGAACCTTGAAACCATCTCTAGCATTCTTCAGAAATGAACATGTTTCATGGAGAACTTGATATACCCAGTGTAGTCTTGCTCAACTCTGCAGGCTCAGGTGTTCATAAGGTGTAAGGTCAGAACAGAAGTTCAGCAGCACAAGCCAGGAACCTCTGAGACAGCTGTACTGAGGGGCAGTCCTAGCCTGACCATTCCTGCGTCATGAGGACTCCTAATTTTCTCTGGACCTTCAACACCAGTCTCCTGTCTTGTCCCTCTGCTAAAGGAGAACAGAAGCCTCTTGAATGGTTTTGCTTTATGTATTTTGTAAAAAGTTTCTGCAAGATCTTAAATTTTACTCTACTATACGCCCTTCTCCTGAATATATAGCCACAATTATGGAGTTAATACTCCCTATACACTAAGTGCAGTTATCAAATATGAAAAAGGTTAATTATAAAAAGGTAAAATATGTGAACGGGGCAAGAATGATAATGAAAATTTAGTTATCTTTTTAAGAAGTTTCCAAAAGTGCAAATATATTCTCTTGAAACGTTAAAATTGGAAAAATATGAATGATTCCTCATGCCCTTTGTGGCCTCAACTTCTCTTGTGCTCCCTTTAGCACACCACAGCCCTCACCCAGCACCTGAAACACTGGACTCGTGGAAAGCACCTCCCGATCGGGACACAGTGTTCTCCTCCCTGCTCATCTCTTCAACCACAACCCTTTATGAAAGATCTTTAAAGCCAACACTATGATCAATGGGTGGATTATTTCCCAATAAGGATGTGGACTGAGTTAGAGAAAGCAAACTTCTTTCTTCATTTCTGTAAATACACAAGCTTAATGGAGGCTGGGATAAACTACTGTGATACTATGTTACTAGTTACTGAGTTTCTGAATCATTGTAACTATCCTGGAGTCCTGGGGAAATTTCACTGGAGCTCAGATCCCTGAGGATTTCCCAACTGCAAGTGAACATTTAAGCCAATAAAATTCGCCCATCTGATGGCCCTAGGGTGTTATTTCAGCAGAAAGAGGCTTCCCTACTCACCAGTGGCTGCATTGTCATTAACTCAGTTGCCAGGTGTCTTTCTCCGGGTTTTCGCGCTCAGACGGTCCAAGCACTAAGCAGGCAAAGCTGAGGATGGAGAAAGAAGCCATGAGATCCCAGTCCTGTGCCCGATTTCCAGTCTCACCTGTCATGAAGGCCCAAACCTTACCTGGGTGGGACCCCCAGCCTAACTAACAAACATGCAGTGCAGCCTACAAGAAATGAAGAGGACTCGCTTCCTCTCCCATGTTCAAAAGTAAGAAGACAAAAAAAAAAAAAAAAAAAAAAAGACTAGGACTACAGGTGCTAATAAAAAACATACAAATACAGAGATTTTATGAGTAAGAACATCAAAAGTATTGAGTTATACATGTTAATGAGCCCACAGCATCCAGTTATTTAACTCCTCCCTGATTCCAAAGCTTAGAGATCCTAGACTCCTGCCACATACTGATTTTTATCTCCATCTGTAGGTAAACATGGAATTTCTCAGATTTCGTTATTCTCATACCCAAGCAGTGGTTCCCCAGCATCCACAGCAGCCTTCTGGAGCCATCCTCCCTTCCTGCTGTCCCTCAACTCTTTCAGGTCTGCCGCCCACGGACTTGGATGCCAGAAATCCTAGCAAGTCTATTTTATGATGGTTCGTCAGTTCAAGGGCTCATTCTGCAAGTCTAGTCCTTAAAAATGCCCCGCATCAGAAAGGAGGAATATAGGAGTCATAATGTTCCTGTCATTTACTGTCCAAATCCTTTATTTCAAGGTCATCCAGATAATACAGAAAGCCTGTGGTTCAGGAGAAAATCTAGTTGCTCTGGCTATTTTAATAAAGTGGTAACTGAAGTCCTTGAAATCCTGTTCTGTGTTAATCTTCAGTAGCTGTACTATGCCCATATTTCATTATTACACACACACGTATGTATATGTACATACATTTACATTATACACACAAATGTGTGAGACACACAGAAAGCATGTATAAATTGTCAGCTCTCCCCTAAGACACCAATAATTAGATGTATTTCGTGGGAAAGTTATGATAATGTGTCATAAACAAAGTAGGATTAACTCACCCATTTGTACCTGAGGTCCAGAAAAAGAAAAAAAAAAAAAAGAAATTTGTATCAAATGTGACCCCACTTCGACATTTATATGTATTCGTTTATTTAATCCTCACAATAGACCTGGTGATTTTATTTACCAGTTTAACAAATGACATGAACAAAAGAGGTTCAAAAAACTTCAATAACGTAACAAAGTTATACAGCTAGGAAATGACCTACTCATATTTTAATTTTGTTCTGTCTCCTATGAAAAATTCCTTAAGGATTACACACCACACCTAGGTTTTACCTGGAAGATGGCATCACTTCTGACTTAAATCAGTAGCCCTACCATCATTACAATTTCTTCTCCTTACTTTTTCACAGAAATTACACCCCACACTCAGTTCTCTGTACATGGGAACCTCTGTGGACTGGCCACTTCTCAAACATCAGGCTTTCCCCCTCTGCATTTTTCCTGCCCACTTTAATCCACACCGACTCATTTCAACAGGCACCTACCAGAACCAGCACTTTCTATGTTCCCTGCACTATTAACCACTATTAACCACATTTCCCCTTCAAGATCTCAACAGCAGGTGATTCCACGTACTTGCCTTTCCTGTGACTGTATCTGACACACATGGCTAAGAAGTTGATCCCTGTCTAAAAAGAGAACTACTACTCCTAGGGGTTTTCAAATGTGTCTGCCAACTCTCCTTCTTCCATGCTCCCATAAATAATTTCAAATCTTCCCCATACCTACTGATGCTACGCATTTTCGCCTTTCAAAAGGCTAGATTATTCCCTACTACACATACTGTGCTCGCTTGCCAAAGTTGCTGTAACAGAGTAGCACTCACTGAAGGGCTTAAACAATAGAAAATTATTTTCTCATAATTCTGGTGTCACCAGGATTGGTTTCTTCTAACTCCCCCCACCCTCACCCAACTTAGCTCACAGCCAGCCATCTTCTGTCTCCACATGGCCATCCCTCTGCACATGTCTGTGACATAATTCCCTCTTCTTGCAAAGACACTAGTCAAACCAGATTAGGGCCGACCCTAATGCCCTCATTGTAGCTTAACTGACAGTTTTAAGGCCCAATCTCCAAATACACACTGAGGGTCGGGACTTCAACATTTGACTTTTGGGAACACAAAATTCAGTCTATAAGAGAGATGAATTATCTAAGGTGACACACTAACTCAGTTTTTCATCATAATATCTACAAATATTGCTACATTCATATCCATTGCTGACTCTTCTCCCATTAAATAGAAGTCGTGTCCAGTGTCTCCAAATGAATTCCTTTTTCTCCTGTTTTGTTGAGAACTGTATTCCTGTTTATAAATTACATTTCCTTTCGCAAAAACCTATCTCTCCACAATCGATCCCATCATTTAAGTTCATTATCTCTCATAACTTAAAGCAAAAATTTCCTCTGAACCTGTTCTCTCTCCAGTTGCTGCGCTTCTGTCCTCCCTTCAGAATCAAACTGCAAGTGTTGTCCTTTGCTAACATCCTCCTCTCCCTTTAACTTAAAAGGCCACCACTCATTATTTTATAAATACATATTAACATCACTGATTGTCTCTGTCTCTCCAATAAATCCTTACCTGGAAACAGAGAGGAGTTAAACCTTGACCTCATTTTCAGAACTCCTTCCCCTCTATAATTAGTCCTCCCATGTCCTCTGTGAAGAATTCCTCAGCCCTACTGGAACATCTCAAGACTTAACGTGAGTGCCTGTTCTTTTATACCATGTCCTGGCAGGCTCACACATTTCTTCAGTTGTTCCCATTTTTTCTACTGTTGTCTCTAAATTGAAAGTGACCAATTTCTTATCTGGATTCCCATTTCTGAGAGAGCATCTCTGCTTGCAAAGTTACACCTAAAATGAAGTACTTCTCGGGACAATAACTCTATCCCACCAAATACAGGAGTTACTCCTTTGTCTGAATCTTAGTTAGTGGCTGGCTCCATCTGAGTACTGACATTTTAAATGCCTTTACAAACCAACAAACACACCAGTACTATTTCTAGCCTGGGCACTACTATCATTCTTTGTTTCCATTCCCATACACAAACTTCCTACCCCGTACTCTTTCCACTCCAATTTCAGTTTAAATCTCCATTACATAGATATTTTCATTAAATTCCAACCAAAGTAAGTGCTTCCCTTGTCCTCTGCCTTGACTTAAATAGAATTACTACTTTTTCAGGTCATGCATGGAATTTGTTATAGATTTATTTTTATTTATGCTGTCCTCTAAAAGACCTAAATGCAGAAAAATCTACCTATGAATGGTAGAATTAGGCAAGTTGCCCTGTGACCACTACATCTGAATGATTCCATGTCCATAAGAAACCTGCCCCGAAGTGCCTGCAGTCAGATAAACCATCACTTCCTGATTATAAATTCCTCCCTGAAATACAGGAGTCTGTCTTCCCTCGAAAAAATTCTATCCAGTACTTACCCAAACTCAAACAGATGGAAAAGCAAATGAAGCCAACTCTTTGATGTGTAGCTACCACACAAAGGACCTCAGAGTTTCTGTCTCTACATAAATCACCCTTTTGATGGTGATCTATGTTTATAAGCAGTTGATAGCTGCATCAGCGACTTAAGTCAAAGGATACACCCCGGTCAGTCTGGATGCCAGTCAATATAACCCTAACTGAGCCAGGTCTTTTCTAATTGGATAAATCCTATAGATGCAATTAAGGAAAACAGATGATACCCTTTCTTTTTGTCTAATGATATTTTTTAGAGTTGTTTTAGGCTCATCACAAACTGAGCAGAAAATACAGACAGTTCCTATACACCTCCTATCCCCACAAAAGAACAGCCTCCCCCAAGATCCGTATCCCACACCAGAATGGAACATTTGTTAGAACTGATGAACCTACCCTGATACATCGTTATCACCCCAAGTCCTTGTTTACAGTACCGTTCGCTTTTGGTGCTCTATCTTCTGGTGGTTTGAAATGTATAATGACATATATGCACCTTTACAGTATCGTCAGAGTATTTTCACTGCTCTAAAATCCTGTGCTCTGCCTATACATCCCTGCCCACCCCCTCAATCCCCGGCCACCACTGAATGTTTTACCGTCTTCTAGTTTCACTTTTCTAGAATGTCATAGTTGGGATCACACAGTATGTACTTTTCAGACTGGCTTCTTTTACTTAGTAACAGGCATTTAAGGCTCCTCCATGTGTTTTCACTGGCTTGATAGCTCATTTCTTTTTACCACTGAATAATATTCTAGCATTTAGATATACCATGTTTGTTTATTCATCATCCACTGAAGGACATTTGGGTTGCTTCCACGTTTTGGCGATTATGAATAAAGCTGCATTCATATGGAAGTTTTTGTGTGGACATATGTATTCCAACTCATTTAGATAAATAGCGAGAAAGAAGCAGGGCTGCTGGATCACGTGGTAAAAAAGTTTAATTTTATAAAAAGCTTCCCAACTATCTTCCAAAGTGTCTGCACCAGTTTGCATTCCTACCAGCAATGAATTAGAGCTCCTGGTGCTCTGCATCCATACCAGCATTTGGTGGTCTCAGTATTTTGGATTTCCCCCATTCTAATGGCACATAGTGGTGTTTTTGTTTTGTTTTGTTTTTTGTGCATTTCATTGACGACATATGATGTTGAGCATATTTCAAGGGCTTGTTTGCTATCTGTAATCTTCTTTGGTAAGGTTCAGATCTTTTGCCCATTTTTTAATGGAGTTGGTAATTTTCTTGTTGATTCTTAAAATAGTTTATATATTATGAGTAAGTCGTTTATTAGTAGTGTGTTTTGCAAATATTTTCTCCCAGCTTGTGGCTTGTCTTCTCACTTTTTTGACAGTATTTTTCACAAAGCAGAAGTCTTTGATTTTAATCCAGTTCACTTATCAGTTGCTTCTTCCATGGATCTTGCCTTTGATGTTATAGTTAAAAAGTCATTGCCAGACTTAAGGTCACCTTGATTTTTTCCCGTGTTTTCTTCTAGGAGTTTGACAGTTTAGATCTGTTATGTGTT